GCATGGACAAGGAGGCAGAATTCCCAGGGGAAGCTATTTTGGATATATCTGCCGATCCTGGTTTTGAACTCATGCACAGATCTATTCCTTTCCAGGTTTTGATCTGGCTCCCTTTGGAAATAATGGGATGGTGTTCTGCCCGCCAGTGGAGTTCAGTGTCATGGCCAAGTCTGGTGTCCAGAGGGGGAGCTTCCAAGATTTGTTTTAAAAATATTCAGTGCAGAACTGAGTTAACCCATACAAATGGAGAAATGGAAAGCAAGAATTCCTCCTTCCTTTTGGTGTCTGTTTGTTGAGCCATTTCCCCTTCTAGCTGGTGCTCAATAGAATATGCTATTTGGTGGAGTTAAATTTTTAAATATGCGATATAATTCAGATGCACCATAAAATTGGCTCTTAAAAGTGTACAATTAAGTGTTGTTTTTAAAATAAACTCAAAGTTATGCAACAATTACCACTATCTTAATTGCGAAACAGTGAGGTTAAATTTTGACTTGAATCTTTGAATGAAATATCAGTCAAAGGTCAACTCTGATTCTCAGGAAACTTGTTTAAAAACTTTGGGCCTCTTGCAAGGGAAGATAAAATTTTTATTCAAGTGTCATTTTAAAAGAAACATAATAGAAAAAAAATTGGGACGTTGAACTTTTCGTAGCTGTTGCTTCATTTCTTCTGCTACTGATGATGTTTCTATCTTAGGTCTTTAGGTTAAGGCTTATTTCTGTGGCTTTGTTATATAGTAAAGACCAAGTAAAACCAACTATAACAAAACCAAGAAGACTCTGCTTTCTTGTCTTTCTCCTTCTTTGTCAAGCCATACTTCATTAGGGCGTGGTGTAGGCCTGTCTTGTTATCCTTTGTCACCATCACCTAGCACCTGTCATATGGGAGGGGCTTAGTTAGGTTTGCTGAATAAACAGGCTCTATTGGGCATTCAGGAGGGGTACTTTTTGGATGTATCCTTGCACACAGTTCGCGGTGACTTTGGTACTTTAATAGTTGGGAAATTGTTTATATTCCTGAGACACAGTTGCTTTAGGAAGAACAAGCTTGACTTCTTCCCATGCAGTTATAAACAGAGCCTTCAAAAGCCCAGCATCCCCCTGTTGTCAGGACCGCTCATCCTGCTGTCAAGTGGCTTTTTAAAGGCTTCTTGAGTGGGCATGGTGAAGCATGTGTGGGTGGTGTGTGTCTTGGAGTATGCACACATATGTATGTGCATTCTTGCCCAGGCACACAAGGGAACTGTAAGGAATTCCTTCATGCTTTTATAAATTGCCCCTTTCTTCTTCCTGCCCTTGTGGCTTATTGGTAGGCCAGGGTGCAGGGAGCCTCCAGCCTGGGCACATGGCCCAGGCATGCCAGCCTTCAGTTGCCTGCCTGTTCTGTGCATGGACAGAGGACAGGAGCTGGCACAGCTGCCTTTTGGGGGAACCATTGTTTATCTTAGCAGCCTCAACAGCAGCAGTAGCAGCAGTAGCAAAGCCTGAAGCAGCACATTCTGTTCTGAAGAGAGCAGCCGTTCTGTTTTAGGCTATAGGCATGGGGAGGGGTTGGCTAGAGTCACCCTTAAGGTCTGCGTATATGCTCTGGAGAGGGTCACAGGGAGGGGCTTGTCCTTCAGATGGGTCGTGGAGGAGGGGAGATATTCATTGGTGTCACATCACAAATGAACCATGGGGGCAGATTGTATCTATTAACAGAGCCTTTGTTCTGCTGGATCTGGGTTGGGCTATCACTTTCTCCCTTTCTCTGCCCTCTGACTTATAGGCACATCTCAGGATGCAGTCATAGAACCAAAAAAAAAAAAAAAAAAAGAAAGAAAGAAAGAAAGAAAGAAAAGGAAGGCAAAGAAAACTTCTTCCAAAGCTGCAAAGTAGATTTAGGAAATGCAAAAGGAATCCAGCCCAGTTGAGGATTAGTCAGAACATGGGCTAGCCAGTCATCATGGCACTTGCTTGGGAGCAGCACTCTGAGAAGTTGAGACAGGAGGATCATAGTTTCGAGCTCAGCCTGGGCAACTTAGCAACTCTGCAAGACCCTGTTTTAAAATAAAATTAAAGGGCTAGGATGTAGCTTAATGTGAAGGCCCTGGGTTCAGTTCCTAGCACCAAAAAACAGAACAAAAATCACCGGCTGTTAGGGAGTCAGTGGGCTACGTTAGACTTGATTGTAGGAGCCCAAATCATACCTCATCTGGAAGGTGGAGAGGGGCGTGATTCATAGTCATTAGGATTTACTCAGAAATACCTTTAGAGACTCCAATCTGGTATTATATTTCTCGATTCTCTGCTCTACTGTCAACCTTCTTGACAGGTCAGACAAACATTAATTTAGCTTTAACCCCATTTTCACCCAATTATATGACCTTTTGTTACATGGCTTACTGAATGCATTCATCTCATCTGTGCAATCAGGGTACTTGGAAATACTGTGAACACACACACCTTTCTGAGAAGGTCCCAGCATGGGTGCTGAGGGGTGAGTGCAGTTCATGCTGTGCTGCTGCTCATGGGGCACCTGAGAAAGTCAGGGTACAACTCCACACTGCCCAGATGTGCTTGGGGGGCTTCCTACTCTAATTCACATGTCTCAGAGGGTCACTAGGATGTGTTTGTTCCTTGAACAGGGTAACTCTGGAGTGCTGTGCCTCTGAAACTTCACGGGTCTCGGGACTCTGCCCAGAACCTGTAAAGCAAGGCAGTCTTAAGTGAATTACAGGTTCCTCAGAGGAGCTGGACAGCACCCCGCCCTTCCATCTCCCCTTGTAAATTTGTTCTTAACTGGGTAACTGGAGAGCTATTTTATCCTGCAAGATGATTCTTATTTAATGGGTAAGTTTTAAGTAATATCAGTGAGCTTTATGGATGCTCTCTACCCATAGTCTGCCTACCCAATGGCTGCTACTGGTAGCTTTTCATTAACACATGGAAAGGTAGCAGATATCTTTAGAAACTGTCTTGACAAGTGCTGTTGCCTTTAAGAGGCCCAGATATCTCTGGTAAGAACCAGATGCCTGACATGACCTCTGCAGATCTTCCCCCTAGGACCCTTGTAATCAGACTCCAAAATACACAGAACAAGAGAGCTTTGATGAGTGATGAAGTAGGCGGCTTTTCTGTGCAGCCTTCTGTCTGCTTGAAACAATCCTCTGGGGCTCAGTTTCAGTTCAGGTGAGGTTACTGCGGGGCTGGCTGACTTTAGTGGTTGGCAAGGAGGAGGCCTGAGGGTGTGGAGGGTGATCTGTGCTCACAGACCCAGCTCCATCACCCATAAAAGGCCAGATGTGTATGTTACATAATGATATCTGCTGAAACACAAAAATGAAGATGGGGACAGATTATGGACCCGCAGCCACTCCAAGGCAAAGCCAAGCATACCTTTACTTATCCTCTTTGCTTCAAGAAACAATGCTTGCAAACATTCAAGCATCATGGTCTTGATCCTAGATTTGCTTCTGAGTCATCTCAGCTCAGAAGAAAAACTCTAGGTGCTCCCCCCTGCAACTGCCATGTAACATATAACATAGACAGAAGCATTGTGAACTGTACATGTGGGAGATAAATTTGGATCATACATAAGGAAAAGCATAATAAGGGTATGCTTTTTGCTTGGAGTCGGAGTCACTGTCACATCCTAATGTATTCGGAGCTGAGCACACTTGGAGGGGAAGGGGAAGAAAGAAATGGCTCCATTCTGACTCAGATGGGACTTGGGACATAACATCAGCAGGATACACACTGTAGGCCCTCTCCAAGCTGGAAAGCAGTCTGATTTGGCAGGCTGCTTCCTATTAGTGCCAGGTCTCTTGTCAGTAAGATATGCAGCGTTGCATTCAAGGCAGATCTGATTGCATCTGAAGCTGCCATGGCTGAAGTTCCGTAGAGACAGTGTTTGCCTAGCCCAAGGACTAGCTGGACTGGCTAGCCAGAAATCTTCTAGGCAAGAGCTTAAATAGAAATACTTCTAGCTCTGACACAACAGAAGCTCTAAGGCCATGAGGGTGAAGCAACAGAGATACTATTTTGCTGGAGGGTTGGGGAGGGACAAAACTTTTTTCCAGGTCAAAACCTGCCCCCTTGTTTTTTCAGACCCAGGGCTGCATGAATGCTATAGACAAGTGACCACCTATCACTGGGCTGTACCTGCAACTCCCAAGACACTTTTTGAGGATTGGTTTACATTCTGTGGTGTTTGAAGTTATGAAATAGGATTAACATTGAACAGTTTGTTTGCCTAGAAGTCATAAGGGTTGTTTTTTTTTTTTTTTTTTTTTATTGCCACCATTTGATCTTAGACAGGTCCATTTTTACCTCCATTAAAATAATTCTAACTCGAAGATACAGTACTGAACAACATTTTGAAACAATGGGAAAAAGTATAAAAGTAATTTGTCTGAATGTGAATCCAAGCTTTATTACCTAATAGGTTGACTTCTTTAAGACTCAGTATTTTCATCTTTAAAATGGAGAAAGCTGGGTGTCCTGGTATATGCCTGTAATCCCAGATGAGGCAAGAGGATCACTGTGAGTTTGAGGCCAGCCTGGGCTACACAGTGAGTTCAAGGCCAGCCTGAACTACAAAGTGAGACCCTGTCTCAAAAAATTAAATAAAATTTTAGAAAATGGAGATAAAGTGGTAGCTACCTTATAAGGTTGTTGAGTGATAATTCACTTGGGCCTTTTGCTAGAAGAAAACCCAAATTCTGGCACTGTGTCAGAAACACTGTAAATGGCTCTGAGTAGTATAATACAGCTCTGAGTAGTATAATATCTAATAAGCAGCTTCTCTTAAGTGATTCAGCAGATTCCCGGTTCACATTGTTCTTCATTGCCCATCCTCCTGCCCTCCCAAAATGACCAGTTTACACTTCAGGCTTTTTTCTTAAGGACATTGGATTTCCCAGGGGACAAGGAATAAGTAAATGGAGGATGAATGCCAATGTGCATGGTGTATACTTAAAGTTAGCCTTCTGACTGTGTTCCCTTTTCTCGTCACAGAGATCCGGGCTCAGCTCACAGAGCAGATGAAATGCCTGGACCAGCAGTGTGAGCTCCGAGTACAGCTGTTGCAGGACCTGCAGGACTTCTTCCGGAAAAAGGCTGAGATTGAGATGGATTACTCTCGCAACCTGGAAAAGCTGGCTGAGCGCTTCCTGGCCAAGACTCGCAGCACCAAGGACCAGCAATTCAAGTAGGGACTCCAAGGCCTTTGCTTTTAGAGACCTCAAAGAGTGGTTTCTGGGCTGGAGGGAGGTGGCTGGCATCACTTAGATCCAGCTGGATCCATAAGCTAGCAATTTCAAATCCATTGTTTCAACGCTCGTAACCTTTTCTTCTCTATCTAAGTCTTATGTGCAATTTTGCATCTTGCAGAGACTACAATAGATGATGTACCATGCTGGTAATATTAAAAAGCTTTAATAGCCTTGTCTGTGAGCCAGATATGGTTCCCAGAGCTTTACAAACATGTTAGTTAACTTAATGCACATGACAGCTCCATATGTTGATTGTTGTTACTATCCCTAGTTTACAGATAAGGAAACTGAGGCATAAAGGGGTTAAGAAATTTAGCCTAGTAGAATTACGCCTATATACTCCTAGTAAATAGTAGGCAGTCTGGCTCCAGTTTCTGTGCTCTTAACCATTTCACCAAACTTTTTTTTTTTTCTGGTACTGAGAATCAAACTCTGGGCCTTGCACTTGCCAGGCAGGCGCTTGTGCTTCTGAGCTATATCCCCGGCCAAACTGTCTTTAAGTGGAAGAAATAATGATGTTATGGCCATTTGTCTACATTCCTGCTTGGGTATTTACTAAGGACTCTTCCTTCTACAATTACAGTGTCTTATAAGTGTGGTTCCATCACTGTCCTACTGCATTGCCCTAGTTGAGATCATCAACCCTTTTGCTTGAATGAGTGTAATACTTACTATATCATCTATAGCAGAAGTTTTCAGCCTTGGCTGTACCTCAAAATTCCCTGAAGAACTTTTTACAAATATGGAAATCTGGGCCCTTCTCCAGAGCAATTAAATAAGAATGTCAAGGAGTGGGGCCCTCATAACAAGACCACAGTCTGCAGCTTCTTCCCATTCTGATCTGGCTGGCCAAATAATGTGATCAGATGTAGTCTTTCTGGAACACACTGGGGCCAAACTTTCAATGATTGTTTGTTGTGTATACTGTTGATACTTAAGATGTGGTTACTCAGTATCTGCATCATCTGAGTGGTTAGAAATATAGAATCTCAGGCCCTACATCAGATCCCCAGGTGATTTATGAGCATGTTGAAGTTTGAGAAGTGCTGTTCTATTCTCAAAAGTGTACACTTCTTGGCTTGGTCTTCCAGCTTTCCCACCTCTGGTGTCAAACCTTGTTTCTTGTCTCTGTTCCAGTGTATTTTATTTTCCCCTATTTTTTATTTATTCCCTAATTAATATATGACAGAAATGATCTTCTCCACGCCAGCTCTGAGCAAGGAATGTAGAGGTTAAGACTGAGGAGAACATAGGAAACTCTCTGTATGAATCAGAATGGGAGCTTCCTCCAGATGTTTGCTCCTCACCATCTCTTATCTTTCCCAAGTCCTATTCTCTTTAAGATACAAGAATCATCTGATGATAAAATGTTATTTTAATATGTTACAAGTGAAGACTTGGAGGAGTAATCATTAAGTGACTTAAAGTTAGATTTATTCTGTTGGTAAGCTCCTCTTAAGTTTAAAATAGCATTTGAACTTTTTAGTACTACATCATATTCTCAGGAAAGCACATACTTATTTTTTTTTTAACTTTTTTTTTTTGCGGTACTGGGGATCGAACTCACAACCTTGCACTTACCAGGCAGGCACTTATGTCACTGAGCTATATCCCCAGCCCCAAGGAAGCACATACTTATAAATTAAGGTACAGCAAGGTGTGGTGGTACACCTGTAACTCTAGTACTCAGGAGGCTGAGGCAGGAGGATTGCCGTGAGTTTGATTCTATCCTGGGCTACATAGTGAGGTCAAGGCCAGCCTGAAGTACATAGTGAGACCCTGTTCTGAAAGCCAAAGATAAATAAGTAAATGTATAGATATGTTACTCTAAATGATCTGAATTACTTTGATTAAGATAACATACAAAGAACAAGGTATTTTATTTATGGCTGATTTTCCTTCTGATAAAACTGGTACTTGGTTTTTACCCCTTCTTTGGGGGCCCTCAAATAACCAATATTTATTGACAGCCAGCTCTGTACTCATTATTGCCCAAGGAGTTGAAAGATATAAGAAAAGTTTATTGTATATATCACGGGGCAGGGGTCATGTCTGGTTGAAGAGGAAAAATTTTGAATACAGAAAACAATTAGATGATAAAGCAGTAATGTCATTAACAGATCATGGTTTTCTATAGAATGTGCATCTGATAAGAGGTAAATGATAAATCATTAGAGATGGGTTAAGGATCTAGAATAGGCAGAAGAGTTTTCATGAAAGAAGTGGGACTTGGGTTAAGGGTAGATTTGTGTGGGAGAGGGGAGAACAGCATGTGGAGGTAAGAGAAGGGCAGACTATTTGTCAGTGAGAGGATGTAAAGGGTACTGTGGGATGTAGTCTTATATATTCATCTGACTTATATATACTGCACATTTCGTGAGCTCCTACATTGTGGCTTGGAAAATATCAAAGAACAGTCACGGCCCCTTCCTCATAGCTCTTAAAATAGAATGAGGAAATGAGCATTAAACACATCAGACTATTAGGTATGTAATTTAAAGTTAAGGTACATAGTGTAGAAGGAAAGATAAGAACCTAAAAGAGGAGGACTTGTTGGCCTTGGTCATCACTTCATGGCTAGTTTACTCTAATTTTAGTTTCCTGTTTGATGTTATCCTGAGTGACAGTCTATTTACTCAACAAATCCTTTTAAATACTCATTGGGCACTATGCTCTGTGCAGATTCCTATGGGGACTAAGGTAAGTTTTGGGTTTCTTGGTTAACAGGGAAAGAAGACATGTAAACAATATAAAGTGACAGGGGCTTTAATAGTATATGGAGACAAGATATTTTCAAAAGTAGTGGAAAGTGAAGTTGCATAAGTAGACTGGACCCTAAAAGAGGACTACTCACTAGCAAACAGAGAAGTTCAAATTTCATGCAGCAGTGTGGTAATGAGCCTTCTGAGTTCTTGTGTTGGGAGATCTGAGGAAAATGTTGTAAAAGAATGAATTTTTATTCAGAAAAGGCCAAGGTTTTGGGGGATAACCCATGCATATTTGATAGCCAAAAAAGAATGGAAGGGAAAGAATGTATTTGTGTTAGCTTTCCATTACTGTGACAACATATCTGAGATGGACAACTTATCAGGAAAAAGGTGTATGTCTTCAGAGATTTCAGACCATAGTTGCTTGGTCCTTTTGTTTGGGGCCTGTGGCAGTAGAGTACATCATGGCAGGAGTGCCTAGCAGAGGCATGCTCCCCTCATGGTGGCCAGGAAGGGAAGAGAGAAAGGAAAGGGCCAGGGATCCCAACATTCCCTTCAAGGACATACTTTCAGTGGCTTAACTTCTCCCACTAGGACAACCTCTTTAAAGTTCCACCACTTCATAGCTCCACTGGCTGGGGAACCAATTAACCTGGGCCTTTGGGACATTTCAGATCCTATAATAGCATGCAGCAGGTGCTTGAGAAACTAGACAGGACTAGATACCTGACTGGGTAAAGAGCCATAATAGTCAGAGTGACCCAGTGTCTTTATTTAACCTGGCAACCTAGAAACATTGTGGTGTCCATGATGGAAGTGAGATGTTCAGGGAAGACCTGTTTGGAATGGTGGGATTACTTTGCACATGTTGGCTTTGGGGTCATTTAAGGCCTTCAGACATCTAAGATGTTCAGCTGTAGAGCTAAGAGGCTATAAATGACAAGAGCTAGCAGAGTCTCTAGTGTAGAAGATGTGAATGTCTGTGAACTTGGGGAAGAGAGAAAAACAGAGGTAAGTCCAGTACCCAAGGCTTGGGTGATACCTAGTAAATCAGTACTACCAAAAGTAATTTTTTTTTCTGTACCTGGAATCTAATTGAGGACCTTGCGCTTGTCAGGCAGGTGCTGTGCCACTGAGCTACATCCCTGGCCCAAGCAAAAGTAAAATTACCTAAAGAGAGAAAAGGAAAGAGTTGGTCCATTCATGTCCCCCAAGCAGGCTAAAGCTTAGAAAGTAAGTTAGGCTGGTATTGTCTGATGGAACTAGAACTGTTTCAACTAGATGATCAATAAAAGTTAATCCCAGAAATTTTTTTCTCGTGATACTGAGTATTGAACCCAAAGTTTTTTCACTGAGCTATATCTCCAGCTCTTTAAAAAATTTTTTTTCTTTTATTTTGAGACAGTCTCACTAAGTCACTAAGTTGCTCAGGCTATTTGAACTTGTGATCCTCTTGCCTCAGCCTCCCAGATTCCTGGGATTATAGGCATGTTCCAAAAACTTACTGATGATTTTGTGTTTAAGGCATTGTGAGAGATTCAGAGATAGGTAAAATGAGCACTAAACTCAAGTGAAACATGTGAAATTGCTGTGTTTTATAGGTCAAATGGCCCTATAATAGCAATTTCAAATGGTATAGCCTAATGTGAGCGGGGATAAGACATACATACAAATGCATGTAAATACATGCAAAACAGACAAGGTGGTGAGAAGCTCAAGAAGAGAGATCTAGGCAGCACCATACCTTCATATATAATTTGTTACATACCTATATATGTTCAAACACCTGAAAGTCTTAACTGTAGTTTTACTCAGAGTGAATTCTATTATTATAGACATATGTGTAAAATTGTGAATTATACTTCTCCTGATATATTTTCAGCATTTTGTGCTTTGCCTTTAGTTTTCTTTTTTCACAATTAAACCCATGGCCTATCTGCTTACGTTTCCAGTGAGTTTCTGACATGTCTCTGTGATTGATTTGTGTTTTCATTTTAATGCAGTGATGAGATGTCCATTCTTAGTGCAAGGCTAGTGACAGCACTCTCCTTTTTCCATTTTCTACTCGTTTCTGTAGAAACGAGTGCAGAAGATAACAAATGCTCACATGTCTGCATGGCTCGCGCTATGCTCTGCCGACAGCCATGCTGCTGCAGTGGACTAGCATGTGGCCACGGCACCACCAGACCAGGCTTGACTCATTGGTCAGCAACTGATAGTTGGGTGTT